AAATCACTGCTTTATTCTTTTTTTTTTCAAGTGTCTTCTATAAGTTTGAGGCTAGCCTAGGCTATCAAGCAAGATCTTGCCTCAAGAAAAAAGAAAATAAGCAAGATATATTGGCATACAACTTCATTACAGAACTTGGGAGGCAGAGGTAGGTGGATCTCTGTGCTGTGGAACAATCCTTTTCTATACTATGAATATGTCTTACTCTCACTGGTTAATAAAAAGCTGACAGTCCAGTAGCTGAGTAGGAAGTTAGGCAGGAAAGTCAAACTGAGGATAATGGGAAGAAAGAGAGCAGAGTCAGGAGAAATGCCAGCCAGCCGCCACCGAGCAAGCAGGATGTGTGAAAACGAGGTAACAAGCCATGAGCCACGTGGCAAAGCATAAACAGAAATATACGTTAATTTAAGTGTAAGAGCTTCCTAGTAACAAGCCTGAGCTATTGGGTGAGCATTTGTAAGTAAAGTTCAGCCTCTGAGTTGGTTATTTGGGACCAGGCAGTTGGGACAGGAAACGTTCAATTACATCTCTGAGTTTGAGGCCAGCCTGGTCTACATAGTGAGTTCCAGGACAGCCAGGACTACACAGAGAAACCCTATCTTGAAAAAAACAAAACAAAATAAATAAATAAAATGAACAAATAAATAAGTAAATATAATAAAAAACATGTTTTCTCTGGGGCCATATGATGTTTAAATGTCAATGTGTAAGTGTCAAAGTAAGACACTTGAGTAGAAGAAGGTAGTTTCCTCTATTGCTCAGGCCACGAGCTTGCAATTCTCAGCACCGTGATATTAAAAAATGACAACTTTAAATTAGAAAACAACTAGCAAAATGCACAGTCCACAGTAGGGACAGGATGAAAAAAGGGGATGAGTAGAGAAGTTGTCAGGCCATGCTTAGAGGAAAGGAAAATGGATTTTCATGTCCATTTGTGAAGAGCATGCAGCCAAAGGCAGGCTGGGAAGAGCCATAGGCATCTGGTGTGGAGAGAGGCAGAACGAAACGTCACGTACAGCAGAGCCAACCAGAGGAAGGTTCAGCATGCAGGCCATCACCAATGCCCAGCCATTTCCCATGCTCCAGTCTATTAGGACCACATACAAAGCTGTAGTATTTTTCTATTTTTTCAAAGATATTTCCCAAGTAATATTTAGATGGAAGTATACAAATGCATCCATCTTATAAACAAAATTGCTAGGATAAGAAACTTTTTAGGAATCATTTGGATTTTAAAGCACGTTTTTTTGTTTTTTTTTTTTTCAAATTTAAAATATTTTTACTTCGAGTCAATACTTTTTCTACCGAAGACAAGTTCTTGCTATGTGGCCCAGGCTAACATAAAACCTGAAATACTCTCTTCTTAGCCTAAGGCATGAACCATCATACCAGGCTAACCTAAATTCATTTCAGCAGCTTTACTTAGATATGTAATTCAAATGTCACAACATCTGAATGTTTAATGTATGCAATAAAAGTTTCTATTGTATTCAAGAGTTGTTTGACCTTCATATCCGTTAGCTCCCTCCTTTCCGCTCTCCTTTATCACTACTGATTCCTGTTTCTAAGATTTCCTATGCTTGGTGTTTCTAATGAATGGAATGCCTGTTCTTTTAAACTCAGCATAATGCTTTTGTGGTTCATTTTTGCTGTGGCATGGTTCAAAATGCCATTTAATTTATACTGTAGGATAGTATTCCTCCATATGCTTATGCCGAGTCTTGTTCATGAGAGTGGGGGTTGTTTCTACTTTGTGCTACTGAGAGAAGTGCTGCTATGTCAATTCCCATAAAATTTATATTTATATTTTTTATTTATTGTGTCAACATGCATTTTCATTGCTGGGTCATAAGATCATATGCTTAAAATTTCACTTAAGCATATGCTGTACTCAACATTTTAAAGAATTGCCTGTTTTTCAAATTAGGTCATTTATTCTTGAGATATAAAAAAGTTTTAATTGAAAATATGTCATTCCCTTGAGATTATGAAATAGTTAGAAAAACGATAGGCTAAGTTCATAATCTCAAGGACCTAACATTAGCATGGCTTCTAAGCAGAGCTATGAATATACAACATTGGCATACTCTGAAATTTGATGACTCAAAAGCCATAGGCACCATATCAAATGAACTCTAACATGAATCTACATCCTTCCCTGTTCCCTATGATGCTAAGCTTTGACTGTCATGTCAACATTTATACTGAAATTCCGCTGTTCTTTGTTACTAAATGTTGGGCCTACCAACTTACAGCAACTTCCCACAATTAGGAGTTTTGCTATGACAGATCAAAACATTTTAATTTTAATAGTCAGAATGTATCAATCTTTCCTCGAATTGATTGAGAGCAGCTTAATAGCTCACTGTGGTGTCCCTCACATAATCACAGGGCTATGGAGGGGACAGTGTTTTGTTTTAACAGAAACTCATGAAGACAAGTTTAGGAAAGAACGAACATTTTTAACATTTTTGTCAGGTTTCATTCTTCCTGAACAGATTTTAAAATCATGTATCCTTGCCCTGGGATGTAGTGGTCCTACACTAGGCTCAGAATGAACACACTTTCACCTTATCTGTCAGAACTACTTGAAACAAAGGCATTCCCCTTCTTACAAGGCATGTCATGCCAAGGGACAACAGCAGGCACAGTTCACCAAAATTCAATACCGTCAGCATCCTATTGTTACTTCTTCTTGCCCAAGTCCTCAAAGCATGTGGCTTAATTTTGATCATGAGTTAGAGATGAAAGTTTTTAGAATGCTAATAATATGACAGCTTCATATCTCAGCGTGTAAGGCAGCTTGAAAGCCAATAGGATTTTACAAAACACACATATCTTCCTAGTTGGTGAAGAACACTGACTTGTAGACGTTCTTTGTCACAAAAATCAAAATACATTTCAAAGATTTGATTTATATTCCAGGAAAACAACGAAAAGTGAATCAACATGAATCGATAAATTTGTGAAAATTTTGGCACTGAGAACTTCCAAAACCATGAAAATGTATTTAGACTTTTGCTCATGCATGTAAGCGACATAGGCCTATGTTTTATATTAAGAAAATCTAGAGGCAGTGTTTGGAACAAAATGTTCCACAATCCTGGTTGAAATTAGCAATTTAAATTTGTTGAGTGAGGTTACAAATGCACAAATCACAGAGATTTGAGAACTTGCATAGTTGTTAAAAATGTATCAAAAGGCCATAGGTTAAAAGTAATGAATGTATGTTTCATTATTATTATTATTAAAATATACAATCTGTGATCATAATTTATTTGTTTTACAAATGCATTTGGAGGTTAAAATTTTTCAATTCATCTGTGACAAACCATGAAATTCAATATTGCTCACCGTGACCAATCCATGAAATCTGTCAACTTTGTTCCTGGTTTTCACAAGGCCTTTTTCTGAGATGAACTGACCCATTTGAACTGAGAGCACAGCAATTTTTTCATCTATGGCAAATCAGTTTATTTTACTAGGATTTATTAGGGGCTTCAAATTTAAGCTTTTTATATTTAAGCCATTTATATATAATCTCAACCTTATGTTGGTTTTACTCACTGCTCCTTCTCCTCTCTGAAAGAGCTCTCTGCTTCTAAAACAAGTTCTCAGCCTGTTTTGCAAGAAGGAAGAACCTGTTGGCAATGGTTATGCTTCAGGTCAGAGTGGGGAACTGAAAAGAAAGTTGTTAATTATTCTTAGGCCAGTGACCATACAAGCTGAGAATGTCTTCAGAAAGAAAATGTGTATATCACTCTAACCAGAATGTACAGAGAGGAGCCTTCTGCCTAATTTAACCCAAGTAATAAAAATATTATATGACCTTTTTACTGTTCAATAAAGTAAGAATGCATAATTCTTTGAATTTAAAAACAAACATTTTGGAGGGAAATTTAAAAATGATACTAAAATTTGTTCATAAGAACTATTCCAAGTTTTATAATATTACCTATTAGAATCAAGCTAAATTGAAATTAAAAGCAGTTTGAATTTTTGTATTTTACTTTTATTTATAAGAAAAGTGTTTTATTTTTTCAGTATAATTACCTATCTGCTTCTACTTGCCATTACTAGTTAAGACATTAAAACCTAATGCTACGACCTATGCCAGACTTATTGAAAGTATGAGACCATTAGATCTCTTTCAGGTATGAGCACATGTAGAATTTTTTAATTGTATCTTTTTAAAATCAGAACCAATTATATCACATAAAAAGTGTAAATTACTGGGGCTCAAGAGACAACTCAGTGCTTAAAAGAGAATACTGCTCTTGGAGTACACAAGTTCAGTTCCCAGAACTGGCATCAGGCAGCTACAGCCTCCAGTTCCAGAGGATCTGACAACTTCTGGACTTATAGGCACCAGCACCCACCTGCGCGCATGCTGCCCCCACCCATAAGACAATTAAAATTACTTTTTAAACAGGTGAAAGCTATTAGATAGACAGACAGACAGATAGAAATAAGTAGATAGATTCCACTCAAAAAGTGAAAGCTAATGCCTGGCATAATTGTACAAACTCAATCCCAGCACTCAGGGGAGGAGACAGAAGGATTTCATCTTTGAAGTCAGTAAAGGCCAGATATTAAGACTGTTTCAAAAAACAAAATAAAAAAGGTGAAGCTGCCGGGCTGTGGTGGCGCACGCCTTTAATCCCAGCACTCGGGAGGCAGAGCCAGGCGGATCTCTGTGAGTTCGAGGCCAGCCTGGGCTACTAAGTGAGTTCCAGGAAAAGGCGCAAAGCTACACAGAGAAACCCTGTCTCGAAAAACCAAAAAAAAAAAAAAAGGTGAAGCTTATTAACTGAAAGGGACTAACCAACAGACATGAAACATGTTTGGAGTAATTATAGCTTTGAGAACTGACTCATGTTTGATTTTATCCCAATTGATATTAAAATTGTACTTCAGAGTACTTCTACTTGGTATTAAATACAGAGTTCAATAACAGGTGTGACAACAACTGGGTTAAACAAAACATATTTGATACTCACTTATATAATTCTGTTAGTGGTGCTGTCAAAATGGCTAATGTTGTCAAGAGGTGGTTGCAATGAGTATGAATTTTAAAAATTTTGTTGTTGTTATACTCATGAGGATTCAAAATTTCCTGTACAGATGTACAAACTGACCATAGTATGTTCTCAGTGCATATTAAGATTGCCGTGACATCAAGTCTATTGGAAAGAGAGAGAAGAAAAGTCATGTTAAATAACATAGTGCTTTTGCCTGTTGTATACACTGTAATCTGTGTGTCCTAAGCATGTGTAAGACAAGAAAGCTATGGTTAGATATCAGAGCCAAGCCAGGAAGTGTCCAAACACCTTGTGGACACTCAGGGATTGGACGGCCCGTCACATCACTACTTTTGGTGATGCCAAGAGCTGCGGTGCTGTTGTGGCAAGCCTCTGGGTTTTGTTTGTTTTCATTTTGTCGTTTTACTTCTTTTTGAGAACTTCATCCAGCAATGCTGCCTGTAAATCATTCCTGCTCCAACTTCTCCTGTGCTCCCTCCCAAATCATGACCTCTACTTTAATTATTATTATTACACATAAGAATACTCCATGAAAAAGGATTTGCTTTTCATTATCAGAATTCTCTTTCAGAAGCAAAATAGGAGCTGGTTGAAAAGAACAATGATCCATTACACACACACACATACACACACACACACACACACACACACACACACACACACATTGTAAGTAAGTATTTGATGGCAGAACACATCTCCATGTCATCCACATGTAAACCATCAGAAAGAACTCGGAAGGTCAGGTAACATACTCTCCTAGGAAGGGGGAGATGAGAAGCCATGACAACCAGAGCACAAGCTGAGATGCCTATAGACTCAGAAATTTCTAAAATTATATTTATTTGTGAAAGAAGACTGTATTGTCTTATTCATCATTTCTATTTCATTCATTTTCATTTCTATTGCTCATGTGGTATTTCTTTAAAATTTTAAGTGCATTTTTATTGTAATCAACACACACTAATTCTACATATTTCTGAGGTTAACACCTCAACCCATGAACACAGTGTGTGAAAGGTATATATACTAGTAATATATAACACATGCATAAATCATATATATGGATTTGGCCATATGTTATATGAAAACTACTAGAGCTTAGTAACCAATGGTAATTATCAATAATTGTTGCAGGAGAATTGTCCATACTGCCATTCTACTATGCCAATAAAGCAACCTTGAATCTAGGATGGAGTCAGCGATTGGCTGACTAGGATTAGCCATAAAGTTCTTGGAGGGCTGCTCCAGAGGACAGGAACAGACTCAGGAGGAGTTGGGGGTGGTGTCTGGTGCAGGAGGTTCTGGAGAATGTAGAAAGAGGGTCAGGCATTCCCTCCACTTTCCCTGCATTCTTCAGGTCTTTATCTCAATTTCCGACTCCCGAGTTTTAATTAAACCAGAATGAATTAGGTAATCATTTCATCTGACAGCTACAAATAATCACTGGCCATTATCAATAATCACTGGTAATTATCAATAACCACCTTTAGGAAGATTTGATTTTTGTTTTATTTACTTCTATTTGTTAATAGTTTCTAATCCAAGATACACACACACACACACACACACACACATTGTGATTTCTGTAATAATGATGGTTAATTTAACTCTCATATACAAATATTTACATATTTTACAGTGAAAGTTTAAAAGGAATAATTCTAGATTTGCATAACACTTTTGTGCAATCATCCAGAACAAAAAAGCCGGTCTCTATCTCACCATTAATTAATTAAATAAATATTACTTATTTCATGAGCTAACAATAAATCTGATAATACAAATATCTCATAACTATGAGCCACATAACAGCCAAAAGCGATTTCTGCTTCATAAAAAAGAGAGTAAATGTATTCTTTAGTCTGAAAAGGAATTTTATATCTACACTTCAGAGTTCTACTCTTTAAAAATAGCTTGATCAGTAATTCAAAACAGCCTGTGCAAAATACCACATTTATGAAACACTGTAGCAGGACCTAAAGGACCTTCGAGTCACAGTGCGCTTTACAAAAACATGATTAGGAAATAATTCCTCCTGCCAAAAACAAAGGAAGAAGGAGGTCTCTAATGCATGTAGGTTCTTTCTAAAATATATCTGAAACCATTATTTCATACCTGAATCCAGGTTTTAATCACATTAGGTTAAGTACCTAAAAAAAAAAAATCTTTTCCCACGTAGCTCAATGTTATATTAAACTAATTTGCATAATATTCACTGCTGAAATACTAGAATCACACTCTAATTCAGTCTTTTATTTAAAACCTAGTGATTTTTGCTTCTCATTTTCATAAATTGGCTTTCAGTAATAAATACAGGGGCAAAAGGAAAATAAAAGGAAAGTCAAGACAATAAATTAAACTGTTTATTACTATTGTTGTTGTTTTTTGTTTTTTTCAAGACAGGGTTTCTCTGTGTATCCTTGGCTGTCCTGGAACTGTATAGACCAGGCTGGCCTCAAACTCAGAGATCTGCCTGACTCTGTTTCCTGAGTGCTAGGATTAAAGATGCCTGCCACCACACTGGGCTAGAGTATGTTTAAAACAAAGTAGTTAGTTTTCTTAGTGAAAACAGGTACTTCGTGCTGAAATCCCTCGGTTGTTTAGTAGGACCAACTCAAGTTTGCTGCTCCATCACAGCGTGGTTGCTGTTTTCGCTGCTACAGGACAGGGCCTTACTGTGCTCTTATCTTATTGTGCACATTTGACCTAGAGTCACACATGGGAACATTTTCTGCCGGCAAAGGGGGTTCTAATACTTGTAAGGGGGAAGAGCAGGGAGGTCAATCGGATCCAAGCTCCACTGTTCCACACAATGCCTCAGGAGAAGCGGCACCTTTCCTCTTGGATGTTAGAAACTCGCTAAACACACAGACTTTGTCTCGAGCTTCGGAAGAGCATTCTGCTTTACAAACTGATCTCTAAAAAAAAAGTCTCCTTGAAGAGCAGCTTTCATTACCTTATCTGTGCAATTCTCTTAGGACTGGGACACGCCCGAGCATATCTGGAGGCTAGTAGACCCAAGGACTTCTCCAGGACCTCTGCTAGAATCTCCTGGGCCAGCTTAGCGGGTAGTATGGTCCAGAGATCATGATGCAGAGCCCAGCTGAAGTAATGCCACATCTGGATGGAGAAGGAGCATCTTTCCCCCTGGCAAAATCATCACACATTAAACAACAGATCACATCTTCCAAAATGTCCATTTGTTTCCTAGGAACCTAATTAGTTCAGGCTGAGAGGAAATCGTTGGAGAGTCTGCTAGATGACCAAGAAAGAATTTTGACAGGATGTTAAACATCCTATTGACAAAGGAACATATGTTTTATTTCAATTACGAATGAGATATTCTAGTGTAACTCCAGACCACAAGCGTAACCTAGCATATTCTTGATCCACCTGGTCTTGGCTTGCCTTTTGAATTTTTCTTTTAAGCACCAGCTTTGTAGTTACTTAACAAGTCGTGCTGATTCTCCAAAATTCAAATCTGTTTAAATTGTTGATGGAGGCACATTTCTCTGAGACTATTAGCATGATTGAGTTAATTTTACAAATCTTTCAGATTCTGTATTATAATGGAACAAGAGGACGGAAAACAAACACATTTGCTAAATCTTAGGCACATTCATAAAGCCAAGTGGGATGCTTAACGATTGAAGAGTACGTTAGTACATTAGGCTTTTCCATTAATGGCGTTTTAACAATAGTTTATGCTAGCAACAGATAAACAGTAATCAAATTTTATACCATTTTGTAAACGTGCGTATTATCATCATTTTACATACTTCCAAAGGGTCAAACTCCCATTTCCCCCATTCCTCCACAGACCCCTCTGTGTGCTAACTTTTGTCTGACTTCAGAAGGAAATTCAGCAGTGACTGGGCCAAAGGGAGCAGGAGGTAAGGAGAGGGCAGCCTGCCTCAAGTGATTTGCAAGCAAGTGTTAATCAGGCAACATGCTGGGGGGGTAGGGAGTATTTGGCATCATTTCTTCAAACCAGATCAAAAGATTATCTGAAATAAGAAGAAAAGAATGCATGCATGCTTCAAATTTAATTTGGTTATGTAAATATATCAAAACATAAGCCATTAAGATTTCCTATTTTATCCCTAGACATTTCTCTTTTGCAATGTGCTATGTCCACTAGCATAGTTTCAAATAAGTGTTATCTAAGAAGTATCTGCTCTTGCCAAGGGCAATGAGTCCCCTGTCCTCCAGCAGCCAGGCTGAGCTACATAACAAGTTCCAGGCCACTCTGGGTCACAAAGGGAAATTCTGTCCCATAAAACAAGCAAAGACAGCCTGCTCTCCTCCTAACCCAAAGTTACCACCTTCTCACACAGATATTTTCTTAACATGGCATTCTTTTGACAGTTACATTGATTATTAAAATATTATAGTTATTAAGATGATAGTGATTGATTTTCAAATGATAATACAAAAATGAGTGGAACTATTATTCTCTGTGCAGAAAACTTGGGCTAAAAGTATTAGAGTTAAGTTTAAACAGAAAGGGATTTAGACTAGGTGTTTTCTGACTTCCCAATTAGATACACCAAATTACTTAATGGAAAAATGTATAAAATTAAAAACAAAGCAAAATTAATGTTCCATTTGCAGTGTGTTCTAAGAACTCTTGTCAAACTAAGAGAGGAGTCTCTAAGCTGGATTCACTGAGAGCTTCAGATGTAAATGAAAAGGACTCTTGAATCCAGCTGATGCTGGAACTGGTGGTGGGGGATGTGGCCTAATAACTGTGTGATCAACAAGACTTCACATAATTTTCAAATACAGAACACCAGCTATCTTTTAGCACAGAGATTTTTTTTTCTGCTCAAAATGTAATATATGCATTTTAAAGACTATAAATTGTTCCATGCTTTTTGGGGAGCTCTGACAAAGCGGCCTTTGTTCTACTTATTCTTTCTAAACGAATACAACTTCAGTGTGCGTGTGTGTGTGTGGGGGGTTCATTAAACTAAATATGACTCAAGTTTTGTGACCCCTGCTTGTTGTCATTTCAAAAGTATTCTGTAGTAAACATCTGTTATTTTTATAAACCCACTGTAACGTAAGCAGATGTGAGCTTTTGCTTAGATTCTCCATCAGGAAACAAGCAGCTGGACTTCATCGTGGAAGCCCCTCAGCATTATCTCTGTACAGATAATTCTTTACTTTTTGACTATTGGAAAACACAATCTTCTAAAATTGAGCAGATGTCAACTATACAAAAAGCTTCATTTTAAACATGCAATCTCAATACCCATTGCACTATCTGACTAATGCTTCAAAGGAGAAGGCCCCAGCTCTTTGCCTCGAGCAGCCTGACATGTTCAGGACATAGAAATGTATGCCTGTAGTTCACTTGCCATCATACAACGCGAGCAGACACTGCTCCCTGGCTTGTAAAGTCTTACTCTTTTTCTCTACTCCGCTGTGCACATGGCCATATGCTGTGGGATGGTCTGTATGTCAAATGTGTTGCTGATTGGTCAATAAATAAATCACTGATTGGCCCGTGGCCAGGCAGGAAGTATAGGCAGGACAAGGAGGAGAATAGAGCTGGGAAGTGGAAGGCTGAGGCGGAGAGACACTGCCAGCTGCCATGATGACAAGCCGCATGTGAATATGCCGGTAAGCCACGAGCCATGTGGCAAGGTATAGATTAATGGAAATGGATTAATTTAAGCTGTAAGAACAGTTAGCAAGTTAGCTGTAACCAATATAAGTCTCTGTGTTTATTTGGTTGGGTCTGAATGGCTGTGGGACTGGCGGGTGTCAGAGATTTGTCCTGACTGTGGGCCAGGCAGGAAAACTCTAGCTACAGCCATAGGTTCCTCTGAGATCTCTCTTCAACCCTTCATCTCCAGTCAGCCATGCATCATCTCTTTCCTCTTAAAAGAAGCTTTCTAAAATGTAGTCTGTTCCACAGATCAGCTGACATGATGGGGGAGGGAGAGGAGGAGAAAGGGATTCAATAAGTGGGATACAACTGTGTCAGGTACACCAGTCATCAAAACAGTCCAAAATCCTGGCTATTTTCTGAACCATCTTATTTTCGGTAAATAGGACAGTAGTATCATTTTTCTTCCTATGCATGAATAAGAACTGTTAACTCTGCAATTAAATTGTAACTACTGATCATGTAAGTATATGGAAGCTCAAGTACTGTGTAATCACAGAGTAACAGTTCCTTTATTTCTGTCTTTGAAGCTAAAGCCTTGCCATAAGATCTAAGAGACGTGTGCTACATGGTAATTCGTTTTGTTTTGGTAAATACTCAGTAACTCCAATAACAGGTTCTCAGTGCACACACTTCTTTACACTGTACTGCTCTTCTGGTCCCTGATTGGCAAAAGAAGAAACACATATCCTAACTACATACTGCGATGATACCTGTTCCTCACTGTAAACATCTTAAAAGGTTGTTTATTAGTACCTGGGCATATTGAAATAGTGTGAAACACGATGGTTCCACTTTCTGTCACTCTGTTTACCTCAAGGCAAGTTGAGTCTGGGATGCTGTCAGGAGAGGGGCGACCAGGACTTTCATTCTTATCTCCGGCCGCCAGCCATACTTGCCACCTTCTCCCTCTCCGCTCCCTGCTACACTAATATTTGAAATACAGCGGGTTTGAAAATTATGTATGGATGCTCTTGCAAAGAGAAAAACTATCTGGGGAGGGCTCAAAAGAGATGAAACAGCCTGAGGAAGCAGGAAAGTCGCTAAGAGATTCTTATTAGTGGGTTATTAGCGGCCGCTGTTTTTAAAACATCTATGATATCTCAGGCACAAGTACAGCCCGTGCCTAGGGATGGCAAGAGTGATTGCCAAATAAAAGCCCACTCTCTTTTCTAAATACTCCATAGTGGTTCAGACAGTCAAGGAAAATGAAAATCATAAGCTGTGATCCAGAAGAAAGGGTATGATGGAACAGCTAATAAAGATGAGTCTGATCATTGAAACTTTTAAACCTCAAAAATATATTTTTAAATATATATAAATACTTTCGCCTAGCATGGAAGTAATTTCAAATATTATATGATCTATATACACTCTGTGGGACTGAATGGGAAAAAAACTAATGAAGCCTGGTCATGAATAATTTTAATTGGTTCTTAATTTGGTTATGCTGGGGAATTATTTGGGCTTTAATTTGGTAGGTATTTGGGATTTCAAAACATGAGCTAAATGAAAACAGTGGAGCATAAAGTGTTAAGATGGGTCTTAAAATGTGCTCTTAAGAATGAGAAGTAAAAAATAAGCATAAAAGTAAAGCTGCTTAATAACAAGTATTTATTAAACAAGATGGAAATACACAATAAGAAAAGACATAAGGACACCTATAACTGGAAGCTTTGGGAAAAACACAAAGGATTGAGCTTAGCTCTTGTTATCTCTGAGTTGTCATTGAATCTCATTATATCCCAATTCACACAGTGCTGCAATCCTGCAACTCAAATCAAGTTATTTTTACTTTTAAGCAGAAGGAGAGTTCTGACGTCTAATTTATTTCAGGTTTCCAAAGACAGTGTTTTTCCTAAATACAAATTCAATATTTAAAAAATATTATCCTAACAGCCTTCGTGTTTTAGTAATATGGAGCTCATGTTTCTAATTAGCCAGAAAGCAGGTAGGCAGTAAAACATATTTGTGTAAAAAGGACGAATAGTAAACTTAACTTCACACCTCATAAAAAGCTTTGTAGTCATCCCAGTGGTGGCTCTCAGCATCCTGTAAAATGCTTGTAGCACAAAGTCTGACGCAGTAGTCCGTAACCTGAAACTGTAGAGTGTTGATGAATTCCTGATATCGCTGGACAGGCACCAGGAATATGGGTCTGTTCAGAGGGAATGATCAAAGAGACAGAGATTTAAGGCCTGTGCGGTAGGAGGCAACAACCTCCAGCACTACAAATGGTTTTCATTATTAGATATCAATCATTCATTTCCTCCCAAAGCTGAAGGCTGTATCCACATTCACTTTCCAAAAAGAAAAGTGGGTGGGGGGAGTTTGCCTTTGTTTTTCAAGTCCTTTGAAAACGTACATCTGCTGTTCTACAAATATGCACTTCAACTTGAGACAAACTGTATTGTCAATACATCATTCAAAACTAAAAGTATTCTTTGTAAGCCTGTTATTAGAGATCAGTGCATTATTTAGGCATTAGGTTATCATTATTACTGAAGAGCAACATGCACTTCTCAGAATCAACTTTTCTAAAGCTATCACACATCCCATAAACACTCTTTTTATTTTTTAAAAGTTGTAATTTTGTAGATGTCAATTATCTCATAAACTGCTTTAAAATAGTCTACTGAAATGAAGTGATTTCTGGCATATTTTGTTTATAAATTCAAGTATGAATCACAACATCTGACTACTTATGAGAATTAAAGAAATAACATAACTGTATCCTACATTGAGCCAAGTTTATTTCGCTTTTATCTTCAGCTATTTATATCCCACTTCCTTGTTTCGTAGCTAGGAGACTATGCAGGCTGAATAAAGAGCAGAGAAGGGGTTCTTGGGTTGCACTGGACTGGTGAGTCCACATGCTCCTTCCAAGGAGCCATGATAAGTTCTACAAAATTCAAACATAACCAGAAAGACCACTTGATAGCACCCATGGCAACTTTTATCTCCATACCGAAAACATATTGTATTTTAGACTACTAGTGCATGAGAATTAAGATTGGCAGATGCTTCCTCTTCAAATATTATGGATAGTTTATTACTAAATAGATGTCCTGCAATATGTTTACACTAGGCACAAGGATAGATTAAAATGCATTTATTCACTACTGCAGTTCCTCACAGCCTGTTGGATTAGAAGCAGAATCGAGAAGTGAATATTTCACAAATGTTTATATGTGGGACAGAAACAAGTGTAATTTCCCTTTTCTATGTGGTCAGCTTAATGTGCCTCATGAAAGGGATGCAGTAAAATTCTTATCATAGCAACATGCAGAACATGGCTGCCTTCTTTTGTGCATGTCTTTAACAGAGGTTCCTTTGTTATCATCTACATATCTAGTTTAATGTAACCCATATTTGACCTTTTAAACATTTCCTAATCAAGAAAGATGAAAATAATCCATTATATTATTATTTTCTCCTCAATGATTTACATCAGCATTTTAATTCTCTGAAATCTGAAGAACGCCTGTGTCCTTGAGCATGAACATCAACTTAATTTAAAAGACACTCACTTCCTAGTTGTCTCTCTCATCAGATTAACATACTGTGTAAAACGCTGGGAGACGTAGGCTGCCGTGGAGAGGAGAACGTACAGGTTCTTCAGGGGTGCTCTGGAAGGAACCTCCCTGCCTCTCTCGTGCAGTCTCTCCAGGACAGCTGTTGCCACTTTACAGCAGGCCTCCACGAGGTTCCCTCTAATTTCCTGAAGAGAATCATCTCTGCATGCCAGAGCCAGTGGAAGCATTGTGTCAAGCTTTTCCATGATGTCAGAACAAAACTAGGAAGAAATAAATGTGGCGCTGAGTTATTTGTATTCTGACAGCACCATGTAATTTATGTGCAGTGGAGCCAAATTCCTAAATAATGAATTTGGCATCAAGCATAAATATAATGACGCAGCTTTGTAACAATCAATTTCTCAGTTGTAGAAAGTTAAATGTTTCATGTCAAATAAGGAAATACCAAAATGATGTCTCTCTATATATAACCTTCAAACCTTATGCTCACCAGACAGACATGAAAAGCTCAGAGCAGCTTTCATGGCAGTACCTTTATGTGTATTCAACAGAACTCAAAATATATGTATCCTTGATATTAACTTCACATTACTTTTGAACTTTCCCTAATTGACTTCTACTAAATTTCCATATGTAAACATATTTGACTAGATAATACACAGAATATCAGTTTGCCTTAAATAATCCACAAGCAACAGAAACAACTCCATGAAGGACCAGCCTTCATAATATCCTTCCCAGGGGCTCAGAAGCGAAACTATGAACAGTGAAATTTATTTTCAGGAAATGAATCTAAGTCAGTCTATTTTATTCCTCTGGGATAAAATCCTATCTACACAGCTACAGTTCCATACTCAAGCCTAGTTCCTTTCTTCCTTGATTTGTCTCTACCTTTATCTGCTGTCCTCTCTAAGTTCTATCTTAATTCTCTCATCTTAGTTCTGCCTCATCTAGGTCCTTCTCATTTCGTTCTTACCCACCTAGTACTTTCCCATCTGGCTCTTCCTCATCCTCCATCCTGACCTCCAGTTCTCTAGTCAAAAATCCTCTCCAGCCAAAATCCTCAATATCCTCTCTTTGTTCTCCTTATACCTCAGTGTCCCGTCGTGTCCTTGTCCTGTCCCGTCCCCATCCCTGTCCGTCCGTCCATCTGCCCCCCCACCCTGCTCTGAGGTGTTCAGTTATAAACCCAAGCCATAGTGATCCTCTGGCAGTGCAAGATCACCAGTCTTGAATTCTTACAGGATCATAAAAGCAGGCAATGGCCGGTAGGCTTTCTTTTACAACCCAAATGAGTGAAAATGATTGGTTAGTCAAGAAAGGGAATTTGCGTGCTCAATCTATATTCCTAGAAGTGGTTAGATAAGAAATTAGGAGTCTATTAGTAAGGCTGTAAGGAAGGAGGTTCTCACTCTAAATTGCACAAGAAATAAAGCTATCCGGGAGGATGGGAGGATAGGATGAACACCTAGGAGACAGGTGTTGTTTCATTTGGCCTTGGATACTTGATAGGTATTTTAGATAAATACTCTGGTATGAGTTCTTGGAAGCATGCATAGCATTACAATAAAATCATTGTAGGAACCAGCTAATATATATACAAAAGCTAAAATATCACCAAGACTTCTTAAGCCATGGCTTGACCTTTGGAGAAATCCTTGACTTTTCCAAGTAGTAGCTTTTGTGACAGTAGCTGGGTTCTGTTATGTTTACCTGCGGCTTGCAGCACTCTTATGGGTAAGGAGCCAGGATCTTCACCCTTCGGAAGTGTGTCTGTCTCCACTGTTTACTATGTATCTGGTCTCGTTAATGGTAGAGGGGCTGTAGGCACAGCCTGCTCTGCACATGATCAGCCAAGAGAGCTCCCCCAGGGAGAGCTCTGGAGCCTCGGGGTGGCAGAAGGAGAGAGTAAGGACTTATAAAAACACCCATCACTGGCTGCTGATCCACAGCGGGTGAACGCACAGTATCTGTAATGACTTACTTCATATTTCCTGGGCAGGTTCTGTTGACTTTCAACACAGATGGGATATTCATTTAGGTGGAAAGATTTTATACGTTCACAGAAAAATAAGATGGCGTCCCCTTTAACCTGCTAAACTTCTATGTCATTCCAGCTCTGTCAACACTCCCCAGCTCACTGAGCCCCTCTGTGGGTTACCTCAGAATAAAGGGGTGGATGCCAGCAAAGAGACACACGTCCTTTTTGGTAGTTCTGGGCTATAGACACCAGAGAAGAAAACTAGTATGACTAGCTTTCTAGGGCTTTCTAGGGTACCAGGCCCTTTCCAAGGCACTCCATCAGTTGACCTAAGGGCTACTTTTACAATCCTTACATTTGCAAAGAGTAAGAATAAATAAAAGTGATGCCACACCTGCCAGCAGCAGTCTGGAGCAATCTCCTTTGGTACTTGCCTTGGCCACTTTCTTTGGTTGTTCCTCCTCAGGAAATGCGTGACCTTCTCGCCAAACTTTCGGGACAGTTACAAGGTTTATAGCGTAGCTCACACCTGAGGATCTTTCTGTTTGCTCTTGTTGGAGGACTTTTGTGGAAAATCCTTCAATGGCTGCTGATATGGAGTGTGCCATGACAAAAGAGATTTCTTTAAATGCATTTTTCCAGCCAAACTCTGGTAAAGTAGCCTGAAATATACATGCGTATAAAATCATATTCATATTAATTTTAACTTAGGAACAAATATTTTGACATAAAATTATTACTTTCATTCAACATATTGAATGCAGGCATCCTTTGACACAGTCTGAAAGCCATCCTGACAACCTGAAGAATATTACCTTGTGAATGAAGCAATACACACAAACAAGTACATTCTTTACACACCACAATATACTGACATTTCACTTTAATTCCTCAGTGGATTTAATCAAAAACCCTTTTCAAAATTTAATCTTTTAAGTATAGTTCAATAAAACCATCTTTAACGAGAGCTGAAAGCTACAGTTACAGCCTATACATAAAACAACCTTTAAATTCAATACATTTAATAAAGTCTAAATTAGATTTTTATAGTCTTTTTACAGTTTATTGTTAACAAGAATTGCAACATAAGTTAGCATTTAATATTCAATCTTTGATTTCTCCTTTAATCTCAGGATTCCAGACAAGCTAAAAAAGGAAAACAGCAATAAAATGAATTTCTCAGAGAAAGCACACATTGAACTTTTCTGGTTTTAACTTGCTTAAAATTTTATTTTGTCTCTCCTTCCAAAAGAGGGGTAGGCACTTTGTTTTGTTGCAAGAAATGGGGAAGTAAAGTGGTCTGCATTGCTTTGTATGCGGGAGGAGCATCACTGAGATCATAACCATTCTGTTTTTCTTTAGTGGCTTCACAGTATATTTTTATTATATAGTCTATACTCATATGCAGCTTCTTCAGATAGCTTTTCTTTCTTTTACTTTATTTCACATTTTAACTTTTTTAATCCTATATATTGTGATCATATTCTTTCCTCCTTCTATCCTCTCAGATCTTCCACCTCTTCCAACCCAACTTCATACAGTTTCTTTCTCTTACAACAAAATGAAAATTGAATGTTGTAACCTTGAAGTTCCAATTTACTTTCATTACTGTGATAAAACACCATGAACAAATGCAACTTAGGGAGGGGAGGGTTTATTTGGCTCACACATGCCAATCACAGCTGATCATTGAGGGGGGTCTGAGCAAGAACCTGGAGACAAACATAAGCAGAGAACACATGAAGGAGTGTTGCTCACTGACTTACTCTCTGTGGCAGGCTCAGCTTAGTTTTTAATACAGCCTATGACCAGAGGTGGTGCTGCCCACAAAGGCATGCCTTCTCCCACATCAATCATCAATCAAGAAAATGCCTCACAAACTCATGGACAGGCTAATCTGATGGAAGCAATCCTTCAGTTAAGTTCCCTCTTCCATGACAAAAACTAATTGACACAATTGGTTTAATTTTTTTTATTTTAGTTTGGTCTCATATGGAAATATATCTGTAAATATAGATGTCCCTCCCTCAAGTTCCTTGATGTTCTCTAAAGCACTAAAACCATGAGTAGTAAGTAGCCTAAACTATGCTTAGAAATAGAGCTGTTTTAGCAGATCCTCTTTGTATTAACATGTCACCTTCCAAATACGGAAGACTATGGGCTTAGGGCTAGAGAAATGACTCAGCAATTGGAGTGCTTACTGCTCTTGCAGAGGATGGAGTTCAGTTCCCAGCACCCATATCTGGTGGCTCACAACCTCCTTGTTTTCTGGCTTTCTCCAGCACCTGCACACAGGTGCACATAACACTCTCCTAACCACTAATATAATACACCTAATAATACACTTTATTAGTAAATCTAATAAAATATTTTTAAAAGTAGATCCTGAGTCACTAAATCACCGATTGATCTTTTGCTTTTCTTGATATCAGAGTTTTTAGTTACAAGACTGAGTTGAACTGGGCAGTTTCTATGTCCCTCTCAGTCAAAGACTTCTGCAATCAGGACCTGTGAGAAGGCTCAGTGGGGTAAGGCATGGGCAAATGAACTTGCTATGCAAACTCAACGACCTCACTTTGAGCCCTAATCCCACGGTAGAAGGAAAAAACAGACTCCTGAACGTCATCCTCTTATTTTCACTGGTGTATCCTGGCACATACGCATTTTCACTTGCACTTGCACATACACGCACATGCACACACACACACACACACACACACACACACACACACACACACACACAAACGAATCATAATAAACCTATGAATTACTAAGATTAAAATCATTAGCCTAATGTTTTGTATGTTTATCCAATCCAACATCATTTTAACACATTTTATACAAATATAGAAAATAATAGATGGTTTATATAGAACTTATGAGTCTACAACTCTGTAGTCAAAATAACCACCCCTGTTTTACTATAGTTAAATGCAACTGAACTTTCCTGTCTAAAATTTATTTGATCCTTTAGCAACATAGAGCTGAAATAAGTCTGTCAATTGTATTTGGGTACAATTAACCAATAACTAAATCTCCTTACTTATAAGTGAAGGTCAGAGGACAACTTTCAAGAATACGTTTTTCCTTCCGCCTGGGATGTGGGCATCAAACATAGGTCATTAGAGGTAGAAAAATTACAGTCTGTGGCATAACAGTAACTCTTTGAAACATGTTAATGATAAAAATGTTAAAGGAAACTACCTCCATAAAAATGAAAAGCAATAAACAAAAGCCCTGGTTTGTTTGCTTGCTTATATCTCTATTGGAGCACAAATACTCATTAAAATCTTCCAATCATGCAAAGAACATATTTGGTAGAAATTGTGACTGATTGCTGTGGCTGTAGTCACTGTTCCTATCCCTGTCCATGCTTTCTTCTCTGCCTGCATGGGGATGATCTTTTCCTGTGGTAATTGATATGTGACTGTAATATGCTGGCCATATGAATTCCCCTCCAAGTATGAGAAACAAAGACATAAATCACTAGTCATACAAAGAAAACTGCAAACCTCTACACACTGACACCATCTTCTAAAAGTCTATGTTTTCATGAAAGATTGCTTATTCTCTTCCCATCTGATATTTGGCATCACACACATTCCAGTTAAAATAAAGAACATTTGTTAGTTAATCCAAGAAAACAAGAAAGAACTGAGTGGCTTTCTTTTCAGTGCACAACAGTTTGGAATTATTGAACTTTATTTTCTATTACATAATGCTAGATTCACGCTGAGCTTGATTTTCTTCTTGTTGTTATTGTTGCTGTTGAAGCACTATATATACTTTAGAGTATTCCTGACCATATCCCTTGCTTTCTAGATTGGGGACTGGGAACTGTTATAAATTATACAGACTTTGGTCTTTTAAAATATTTATGCAGCATATTACTCAGGATTAATTGAGAAAGCAGAAACCATGTAAGAAATTCAAAAGGAAGAGTTTAATGTAGGGAACTAATTGCTGTTATGGCTTGAATGGGCAAAGTTTCTCTACAGCAGTGGTTCTCAACCTGTGGGTCACAACCCCTTTGGGGGTTCAATATCAGATATTTTGCGTATCAGATTTACATTACGATTCATAACAGCAGAAGAGTTTTAGTTAAGAAGTAACAATGAAATAATTTTATAGTTGGGGGTCACCACAACACAAGGAACTGTGTTAAAGGGTCACAGCATCAGAGAGTTGAGAACCACTGTTTTACAAAGTCAAGCTTGCACACTCACTCCCAGGAAGTGGTCTTTTCTGGGGAGGCTGTTGAAATGTTAGAAAGTAGAGCATAGTAAGAGGATGTAGCTCACTAAGGAATGTCCTTGGGTTGTATTGATTTGGGATGCTTCCTGTCCCAATGTCTGCTTCCTGTTTGTCCTAATGATGTGAACAGGCTCCTGCTGACGTGGACTGAGCTGCTTCTGCTATCATACTTCTCCCACACCCATTCTGGGATGAAATCTGAACCCGTAAACAAATACATTCTTCTTTCCTTAAGTTACTTGTATTGGGTATTTTGTTGAGTGAAGCATAGGTAACTAACAGTGACCCAGGTGACGGAAGAAGGGCAAAGCCAAGCCAACTGGGAAGCACAACACAGCAGCAAACCATAACCACACCCAGGACTGGAAAAGCAAAGCAAAGTCACTGTCCTCTGAGAGACCGAGGCTGTCAACAGAGGCCAAATCAAGGCACAGCTGCCCAGGGGGCTCCAATCACACGCAGAATGTGGTGTGGCCAGGAGTCACAGCATTGCCACGGGATCACAGAGCTGGGGGATAGGGAATTTTAATTTTTTTCTCTGCAACTTCTGCACTCCAATATTTCATCAATACCTTTAATTATACAGACATTCCCACAATCCAGAAAGCATGAGAGCCTGGTAGACACAATTCTCTACAGTACAGAACAGAATAGAAGCATAGCAATGAATCCTGAACAAGTAAACAAAGAGATTCATTCAAACCTTCATGCCTTTCCTTTGAAAATCGGCATTTTATCACTTTTCAATGGTTATCTATAGTTCACATTCTCAAAATACAGATCCTGAGCCAAAATGGGAACAAAAAATTCTTGACTTCTGTTTTCATACCATTCTTATGAACCTGATTGTGCAAGAGAACAATGACCCAACTTTATTTTTGTTAAAAACATTTTTAACTTGTTAGCTTATATTACTTGTATAAATTAATGGGTCTTGTTATGACATCTTCACATACTTATCCAAAGTATTTTGATCATATTCATTGTTATTCTCGTTTCATATTTTCTTTTACCCCTTACCTCTAGCTAGTCCTCCATTACTCCTGTTAGACCCCCTTCTGCTTAAAGTCTTGTCTAATCTAGAATCCACGCTCTGAGCGAAACATCCATTTGTCTTTCCGAGACTTGCTTATTCACTTAATGTGATAATCTCTAGCTCCATACACAAACAAAGTAAACTGAGTAAACAAACACAGACCAGGTCAAACTGTCATGTCCCTTCAGCCTATCATCTTTATTTTCATTTTAACAGCCTTGTGTCCACAATGCATCATGTCACTTTGTTCTTTATTAATGAATAAATCTGTTGTGTATCTTCTACATTTTTCATCCATCCATTTTACTGCCTGATTCCTAGGATGATGCTATAACTTGGCGATTGCTAATGGAGGCATAACAAAATGAGTAAGTAGCTATCCCTACTGTGTGGTGACTTAGATTCCTCCTTGTATACAGCCAGGAGTGAGTGGCACAGGAAGGTCTCATGGTTAGGTGTAGCTGTTCACTCCACACTGATCTCCATTGTGGCTGGCCTAATTTACATTCCCCCAACGGTGTATAAGGATTAGTTCCCAGTACCCTTGTCAGCATCTACTGTTTAGTTACTTGATGGTAAGACTTCTGGATTTTTGCCTACAGCTTCTGAGGAAATTTCAATCAAGATTATTTGGGAGTAAAGGGAAAACTCAGATATTTTGATTCACAATAGACTCACAGAAATGTAAACTTGTTATATGTGAATAAAAAGTCTCACCTCTTTGACTGGTAATAATGGCTCTGGAGGAATGTTGGTTTCATTTGACGTATGTTTCTCTACCATGGCTTCCCTATCAGATTTTTCCAATATTCCTAAGCAAAGAGAAGAAAACAAATACAAAATCATTAATTTAAAAAGAACAAACTGGGGTTGGAGGGATGGCTAAGTCATTAAGAGCACTTATTACTCTTCTCGAGGATCCAGGACTGTTCCAGTACTTCAGGAAGTTCAAAGCTAACTGTAACTCCAGTTCCAGGGAATCGGATGCCCGTTTCTGTCCTTTGCAGGCACTGAAAGCATGTGATGCACACACATGTACTCTGGCACACACACACACACACATACATATTAACAAATAAATCTTTTTTCAAAAGAACCAACTATTCTAGTGTGATTAACATACTAATTACATAGAAGAGCAATATACAGTAGATACATACACATAAACATATACATATGTGGATACACAGGGAATAGACTCAGTAGGATACTGACTGGGGCAGTATTACAATTATGGAGGCATATACAAGATAGAGACTCCTTTTAAATACACAACTTGATGAAATTTGTATGATTGCAATTATATTCATATTTGGCATACATGCATGTGTAATCTGCAGAATAAAGATCCTTCCTCTGCACTCATGTTGACAATACAGGACGACATAAGAGTAGAAAATAAACATTAACTTCTTTGTTAATTTCAAAAGTTAAATTCTGTCTGGTCTGGTGGAACAGGCTGGAAACACTTCATGAGTCTGAAGTCAGCTCGGGCTGCACAGAAGTAACAGTTTAGAGTTCTACACTTAAAACTGGCGGGGTTACATAAAATACTAACATTTTCTCAAAAGAAGGGCTGGGGAAACAACTCAATTGATAAAGAGCTTGCTGCACAAGAATGGGGACCTCACTTTGATCCCAAGCATCCACACCAGGGGCTCTTGACTACAATCTCAGCACTGAGAGGCAGATACAGAGGATCCTAGGGGGCTTTCTGGCCAACTAGTGTAGTTCAACTGTAATGTGCCAGATTCAATAATCTGGTGGCTCTGCAAAATGGCTGAGCAAGTAAAGGTGCCTGCCTAATGACCTCAGTTTAATTCCCATGACCTAAATCATAGACATAAAGGACTCCTGAAAGTTGTCTCTGATTTCCATATGTGTGCTGTGGCATGCACACATCCACACATACTGGCACACCTGCACAGAGACACATAAACACAAATGCAAAATTTAAAACAGTTGGAGAGAAATTGAGAAAGACACCCAATGCTGACTTGTAACCTCTACTTGCACATAAAATCATGCACATGTATCTGCACACATGAGCATACACACAAATACATACACACACACACACACCATCATCATCATCATCAAAGAACAAAATGCCTAAAAAGACAACAGTAGATCAGGAGAATAAGTATGCTTTTAGTAATTATTACCAATGGTTAATTTGAAAAACAAAAACCTGGGACAGACATGGAGAGACATAATCACTAACTCTTAAAATGGAATTATTTTTGCAATGTTAAGTTTTATAATGAATGAAATCTTTTCATGGTAGGAGAGAAGACCTTCAAAATGTAGTAAATAAATACAAGAAGAAAACTTACCACTTTTCCATCAAGATTGCATTAAATAAATAATTTAGCATTTACCTTTTTGTGGCTTGGAATTAGTATGGGGTGATAAATTACATACTATAATCCCATTTTTCTTTTCTTTTACTAGCCTTCAAGGAATTTTAAGAACTAGATTCTCTGTATTCTCTAACCACATTGGTGATTTTCTCAGTAGAGACTAACCAATAAATTCATTTAGTAGATGGGTGTTGTTTTCCTCTTGAATGTGGTTCTATGAATTTAAGTGTGAATATGTTCTAAGAAACAGAATGTCCAGAAAGATATAACACTTGTGTATTCTGAATATAATAAAGGAATGCCTACTTAGGTAATAACACCTCTGCTTCTGTTTGGTTAAGTGTCCCTCAAATGACCTGCAGGGTAAAGCCTTGGTCCCTAGCTTCCAGAGCTATTAAGAAGTGGTGAATCAGTTAACAGATGGGTTGTAGTGGAAGAAAGTTAGGGTCACAGAGTTCTGCCCTTGAAGGACATATTGGATCTCTGCAAGAGCAGCAAGTACTCTTAACCACCGAGTCATCTCTCCAGCCTCTAGTTCTCCTATGTTTAACATCTTATGGTGATGTTGTATATTTGTGCAACTAATAAACCGATATTAAAACATTATTACATATGTTTACAGTTTCCCCTAGGATTTGCCCTTTGTGTTAAATGATTCTATGGACACTGTCAAGTTCATGTCTCTACCACGAATGTGTCATATGGAATAGTTTCACTGTTCTAAAACCCCCTGTATAACCTGTGTAGTATTCCTTTCACCTTTCCCTGGCAATGTAGATAATTTCAGGGTTTCTGTGGTTTTGTCTTTTGCTAATACCACATAGTTGGAATCGTACAGTATATAATCTTTTTAGATTGCCTTCTTTCACTTAACAATATGCATTCTTGGTTCCTCCATATCATTTCATGGCTTGAGAATCTTATTTTTATTGATGAATAATATTCCATTATATTGATATACCACAGATTGTTTATTGACTCACCTACTGAGGAACATCTTAGTTGCTTCCAAATTCTTGTAATTATGAATAAAGCTGCTATAAACATTCATAGGCAGGTTTTTGCACGGACATAAGTTTTCAACTCATTTGGATAAACACCTGGAAGTGCAATTACTCGATCATATGGTAAGACTATGTTTAGCTTTGTAACACAGTGCCAAATGACTAGCAAAGATGCTCTATCATTTTACATTCCTAGCAGCAATGAGCAGAGTTACTTTTGTGCTACATACTTGCCAGAAAGTTGTATTTTTAGCATTCTTTGGATTTTTGCCATTCTAATAGGTGTACAGTAATATCTCATTTTAATTTGCATTCCCATGGTGACGTACTATTTTTTGCATCTTTTTTTTCATATGCTTAGTCACCATCTGTCATCTTTGGTCAGATGTCTGCTCAGATATTTTATGTATTTGAAAATCAGGTTGCTTGTTGTCTTGTTGAATTTTAAAGGTTCTTTGTATATTTGGATATGAATCCATTATCATACATGTTTTTTGCAACTCTTATTTTTAGTTTGTGTCTTTTCATCTTCTTTCTGAACATGACTATTTATTTAACAATTCTACATAAGAAACTTACCTTCCAGATAGAGTAGTGCAAATATAAGACACAGCCCAAGAAAGTTTCCCAGAGTCCAAGAAAATTTGCCATACCATCATGCTAACAAATGAAGTAGAGAATGCAAAATGTTCATCAATGAATACCTAATTAAATTATGCATAACAATGGAAAGCTCCTCATCATGTATAGCAAATATGATTATGATTAGCATATAGACTTCATCAAGTTGTATATTCATAGGAGCTCTATATCTTGTATACACCTGCATCATTTTAATATTGGCAACAATCAACATCTTACTGCATATATTCCCTGTATAGTCATATGTTTCTATGTTTAGGTATGTGCATCTACTCTGTGTCCAGCTTTTCTACACCATTATCTTAACCTGCTTGAACCTGAACATGTTAATCACATCTAGAATGGTTGACACTTTTTTTCTTAAGATTTATTCTTTTGATGTGCATGTGTGTGTTTTATAGCATATGTATGTACACCATACACATGCACAGCCTGCTAAAGCCAGAAGAGGTCATTGGATTCTCTGGAACTAGAGTTATAAGCAGTTGTGAGCTGCTCAAGCTGGGTACTGGGAACTGAACCTAGGTTTTCTGGAAGAGCAGCAAGTGCTCTTAATGACTGAGTAATCTCTCTAGTCCCAGTTGGTTCTTTTAGAATTAATGACTTTGGATTTGCTTCCTTCTCTTTGATCGGGAAGTGTTTCTGCATTTTCCTAATTATTAATGAACAAAACCTTTGTATAGAATGACAATCATTTATTATTTTAATATAGGAACATGTGTGGAGGTAGTTGTTTCCAGAAAGTAGACAAGTAGAAAAAAGATGCAATTTCATCCTGACTATATGTCCCTTTGTTTCATTCAGAAGCTTTATGGTATACATATAGTACTATTCGAAACCAATTTATCTGAATACTGTACAGAAGCTCATAAAGCTAGCTAGTTTTAAGAGGTATTTACCTTTGAAGCATAGTCTTTTTAGATCTATCTCTGGAAGTAACTATCTGACATTGTAGAGCTAGAGTTTAAGTCTTAGGGAAGAAGTTGACTACCTTCTATTTAACATTTCACTCCCAAATACATTCATTATACTTATTCAATAAACCAAGTGCCCAGATGGTAGAAACCACCTGCTAACCTTCACGATGAGTAAGACAAAGACAATATTCCTAAGCCTTTTCTTGCTGGTTCATGAATCCAGAATAACTTTCAAGTACTCATATTAATTTTTTAAATATAATACCCCTAAATTAAAAGACCTTTAAGAAGCTTAACTTTAAGTGCAAAAGTAAATTCGGTCATTTTTAGGCAGGATTAGTAACACTGGCTACACACTAATAAAGTATCTCATGGATACAACATTGCTGCATTTTTATATTTATTTGTAATTCAATTGGTCAATTTCAAAACTTGACAAAATAAAATTCTATGAGTTCTTTGAACAATTGGGGAATTACTGTACATACTTAAAATATATTGAAAACTCTGTACACACTTTATTGTCTACTTTTGGCACAGCATTTGAAAACAGTTATTTGCATGAAATCTACAGTTGCCTCTCTAAGCATATGCCTGGCTTCAGAACCTCAGGAGAGCACAGAGGGTCACAAGAGTGCCAGCTGCTCACCAGCTTCCCCTACAGAGTTCTCTGTGGTTATTTTACACTTCTGGCTACTTTGCACGCTGCCGCTTTGCTCTCTTTCACAGGGACTGGAGGTTGGCAGTACTTCCCTGTGACATCCACTTTCACACCCAAATTGGTCTTCATAGGTTCCCATTGTGTGCACTTCAAAGCAACTTGCCTTGTTGGCAGCTCTGAGTGGGAAGTGCAAGTCTTTCTTTTCTTCACTGCTCTTTTCTGGCTCACAAGCAACCTCCCACCAAAAGCTGAATCTGTAGAAGAGACTACATCCAAGAGATAATACCATAACAAAGTATGAAGAGAAGCCCAGGTGGCCACCTTGCAAATTTCCAATGTGGAAGCCTTCGACCTCTCTGCCCAAGAAACAGCTAAAGTCCTAGAGTAATGAGCTTTAGAAGCCCTAGGAGCCTCTTTACCTTAACTACATACGCCTCCCTAATACAATCCCTTAACCATCTAGCTAAGGAACTCTTAGAAGCCATTTGACCCCTCTTAAGACCCCCTAAGAGTACAAACAATCTTTCAGAAGATCTGAAATCTTTGATTCTTCTGAGACAAACCCTAAGTGTTCTTCTTACATCCAATTGAAGCAGCCATTGCACTTTGTCGTGGCTGGTGCTAAAGCGAAGCGCGGGCCAAGAAGCCTCCTGGTTTAGATAAATCTCAGATGCCACCTTTGGAAAAATTGAGGAACTGCCCGAGAACTACTTTATTCTGAAGAAGCATCAGAAATGGCCCCCCCAAATCAAACCTAAAGCAAACCCATAAAAATACAACCACACAAAAGAAATGCAGTATGGCATCAGTTTAGTCAATCACTTTCTAAACGATGAAGTCAGAAAACCATCAAATCTGACCAAACAAAAACAAACAGGGAGAACTACTAAATTTTCTTTCTCAAAGAAGATTTCTCTTGTCTCTACAAATTCTCTTGTTCACATTCTGATTACTAAGAGAACTGCCAATTTGGCTGAGTCTATAATATAACAGTAAACATTAAAGTAGAAAGTCAAATGTTTGGTTAATTATCTTTATGTTTTCTGTATTGATGTTAAGCACGTGGATATTTTTAAAACATCTGGACAATGGGCAAAAACCTTTACTTTCTTTGGATTGTTTAGATCATATAGTCATATAAGGCCACTGTTTTCAAGCTAACAAAATACGCTCCAATGAAAACAAAGACCCGGGAAGCCACCTGGTCTGCTCTCTTTCCCTTCATTCTCTCCCAGAAAGAGTTTCTAGAAAAGCATGTACAGCTAGGTCCCTTTGCTTTCTATAATCATTCAGCTCAGGGTACCTTTTCCCTTCTAATTTGAGAAGCCAAAGCTTTTGATAAGAACTGATTAACACTGACACACTCAAAGAAACATAAGACTTTTCCCCCAACAATTTCCTTCAAGATCATTCTTTATAGTCATTTATATAAAGTTATGTAGAATCAAAGCAATCTTGGTTTTCTTACACAAAACAAAACCAAGACCAAAACCCAAACCCATGAATTTCAACACCAAAGAATGCATATATCGCAAAGACCTGTGGGATAGCTCCAGGGTGGGGGTGCTTGCTACCAAGTCTGACAAACCTGAGTTCAATCCCTGGAACTGACATGGTGGAAAGAATCAGTTCTTACAAGTTGTTTTCCTATTTCCACATGTGCCCCCAGGCACCCCCGCCCTGACACACACACAAATATGCATAAACTTTTCAGTTTATTGTTTAACAACATTTCTAGATCATTAGTATAAAGTGAAATTAGAGTAAGTTAGAGAAATTTTAATATGATTTTAATCAGCAAATCTGCATTAACAGTATTCTGACAGCAGACATTATTTTAAGTGTTAGGGAATTATTAAAAATATTGTTGCAGCACAATAAATATCTTGAAAAATTAAAGAATACACCTATCAAAAAGAGACGTTCTACTACTGAGGTATTTCTTATACCTGTCACTCAAAAATTACTTGTAAATATTGAATTTGATAACCCACAAATATGAGTTAGCAGTAACTGTATATTGTGAGGTGATTACAGATTTTTTTGTAACAATCATAATGCCTGCTCTTGAGTGTACAGAGTGTAGAAGCCTCACCAAGGCTAAACCCTAATCTAATGCAGTGGAATAAGCCTTTTTTTTTTCCTAAAATCAACAGCTAACATCTTCTCTTCCATTCTTGTCTATTTCAGCTTTATATCCTTACCATATTCCTCTAACAAGGTTAGTCATGTTGCACTTAAGAACAAAGCTCTCCCTCATACTGGATACATATTGTCAAGGGCTGTACTAGGATGAAAACAAGATGATGGGGAGAGACCTTGATGTTCTAGAATTCACTCTATGTCTTTACTTCTGAAAAGAACTGAACACAGGAAAGTGAGGAAGCATTATCTTGGCTGGTCATGATGGATGAATGCCAGTAACTAGTATCAATTCTTTGAGGTCTTAGCATATCACCAATAATTTGAAAGTCTTAGTGCTCAAAAATTTCTGAGCTAAATCAACTCCATTTAGATAACCAATTAATGCTCTCATTACCTCCTAATTAAGTCTCCACTTCCTGTTTGTCTTTTGCTTAAAGCATTTTCTGTCTTCCATGATGGCTAGCATCAGAAATCTGTACTCCTCCCTTATATTTTTAATGAGCTGAAATTTGGTAAAGTGATGGTTATAGGTTGGGTGTAATTGGAGTATGTCCCACAAGAGTTCTTAAGTTAGAGTTTAGCTTCCCAGATGGTAGTGAAAGAGTGGAAGACATTGGAGGAGGAGAATGCACTGGGTGGGTACTGGCAGCACCATCCTTGGGAGGGTCCTCACCTGAGTCAGCATACATTTTGGACTTTCTCCAAAAGGAGGAGGTAAATAAACCCCATTACTTTCTAAATTATCCAGGCTCAGAAAGTTCGCTACAGTAATAGAAAATGAACAAATACAAGATCTATATTACTTACTTTATAACAGTGCACCTAAAGCTAACCTGAAAGACAGAAAGCCATTTAACTATGCTAAACATGAAACAAACTTCAACCCCCAGTTATTATCTTTTCTAATATATAAGTCAAAGTAAATAAAGAAATACAAAACTATATAGGGAGAGGCAAAAGATTTATTTTTCTTAGATATGGGGTTTGTATGTTAAAAATGTGGATAGTTAATCCCTGCCTCCCTCAATTTGTTTGGAAGATGGAGCCACTTCTTCAGCATGCCACATGGTAGTATGTGAAGAGAACATCATACATCATTGAGAATAAAATGAAAACCCTTAAAAATACACACAAGAGAACAAAGAGTGTATCTTGGCCATTGCCTTTGACTTCTACTCTTATTGTCAGAAACATTTCAACCTACATGGTAAAATGTTCTTCAAAGAGATTTTATTTCATATAACTTAGAATAACAGTATAAAATTACAAAAAGTATTTATAATAACTCACATTTGTTGATTGGTGATTATATCTTTTAAATATCTTATGTAGGACCTAGTGTGCTAGGTCATTTAATTTTCACAACTCCATTTTAGATATTGGAATATGAAGGATCTGGCCCTACAAAGAGAGAACTAGTGTATTCCTCCAAGACTACTGGAAGGGTGATAGAACTCTGGCCTACTGAGACTAGGAACACTGCTGGAGGAGGTCATGTGGCTGCTTGCAGCCAGAGCACAGGTGCTCCACCTCCAGTCTGTTTAGTCTTTCAACAAGCCAGCCTGTGGTTCTTTGAAAAAAAAAAAGATACAATTTTATCTAAGGGCAATTATCCAAAACAAATTCAGGATTTTTTTCCCCATTAGAATTAAAGACTCTCAAAGTGTAACAATAAAAAAACAACCTACACTGTGTGTCATGCTGAATATTAATCTACATAACTTCACCATGTACTTCATTCAAATAATGGTACAGATTAAAAGTGGCAGGGACCAATCAGAGGAAAATTGTCTATGCATGATTAACTAAAGAGTACAGTACCTGGAGAATTCCTGGGCATCTTAAGCAATAAAAACATTTCTTCAAACAGATCCTGAATGTTGTTTTCCAGCTTCAAAAAGGATTCTGTTAGCTGTGCTAAGAATTTGAGTTCATCTAAGGATAGTGAAGAGTGTCTTCGCTTCTGTGGGCATGCAGGGCTAACTGTGAAGAAAAAACAGACACTGTTTCACATTTTATTGATTTCTTTGGAAAATTTCAGAACAATTTATTTGATCTTATATACCATAAAATTGACAAGAGCTTCATAATTTAGAGAAGCTTGTTCATTACAAAACACATATAAAGCCGGGCGGTGGTGGCGCACGCCTTTAATCCCAGCACTCGGGAGGCAGAGCCAGGCGGATCTCTGTGAGTTCAAGGCCAGCCTGGGCTACCAAGTGAGTCCCAGGAAAGGCGCAAAGCTACACAGAGAAACCCTGTCTCGAAAAAAACCAAAAAAAAAAAAAAAACAAAAACACATATAAAAATCTCCTAGGAGAATCATTTCTTCCAAAAAGCTAGAGATAAATATCATCTTTGATGCAATTATGACAAATAATTAGCTTGACTCAGAGTTATAAACAGGAATGCAATTTGTTATAAAATTGACGTCTTATAAAACTATAATTTTTAAAGTCTAGCATAATTTGACTCTGATTATGAGGAAACATCAGACAAACTCAAATTAAGGGACAGTCTACAAAATAGATTGTCAGTACCTTTCAAAAATATTTGTGCCAAAACACCAAGCCTCAGAAATATTAGAGTGTAGAAAAGTCCAAAAGACATAGGAACTGAGGTCATTATTTGATCAACATTTTACTTTACTATAAGGAACATCATACTAACAATATCTACAATCCAATACTCTTCTCACATGCTTTTTAATTTCTTGGCTTAAATATTGAACTGTAGTTATAAAAAAGATACTTTTGATTTGAGATAATATATTCTGCAGAATATAAGAATAAATGTCTACCATGTAGTCTTAATTAAAATAGTTTTGAGGAAAGAATTAGAAAGAGGGAAGGGAGAGAGACAGAAAGATAAGCGAGGAGCCATAAAATGCAGACTTGTAGTAAAATAACAATACTTGTGCATCTGAGGACCCTGGATAGCAAGAAAACCAGGGCATTTCCCTGGTATTCAGACAGCTTTCTTTATAAATCTGAAATTTAAAATATAAAAGAAAAACATGTAAATATCAGATGTAACTCCTCAAACTATTCTGTATGTTATTTTTATATCATTAAAAAGAAACAAATCAATGTGGCAAATGGGTAAAAACTATATAATAACTACATAATCCATGAAGTTGTGTTTAAAATTCACTTTTGTATGAATAACTGTGGTATATATTTTATACATACAAATAACAACTTAAAGTTTGATATTTTTCCTCATAATTATACTACTAGTCAAATCACACTTCCGTTTAATTACAATAGAAAACAGGATACATTTAGAAGTAGAAAGAATTGTTTCCTTACAAGGCATCTTTAATTTCAATTTGTTGCTTTTCTATTAGAAATGTATCACCAGATGGTATTTCTGACTATATGTTCAAGGATTTAAAGAATCTTTCTTCTATTAATTCCATTTATGGAAATATATTTAAAAGGATTAATTGTAATTAGAAAACTCACAATCTCACTATAGTAAGCATCTGGTGATGTTAGCAGAAAAACATGAAGGGTGATAATCAGAAACTGAAGAGAGCTGATCGTGGAACACAGATTGCTCTCATCACATGGGTTTAGAAGGAAGGTTTTTGAAACATGGTCTTTTACAGGTAATCCATTTCACTTCAGTTAAAAAGCTAAGACACTGACATCAAACTTAAACCCACAAAACATAGACTTTCAGCGAGGACCAGCCAAAACTATCATTTTATCTTTGCAGGCAATCTGAGAAATCTATCTACAAATTACAACTGTGAAATTGAGTCCCATTCCTAAAAAGCAAAAATATCTGTAACTTCCTACAAAAATTCTATATTCATCCCCACATTAAACATCATCCTACATTTGAAAAAGTCTCTAAATCACTCATCTTCTACCTGTGATTGTTTTAGAAAGATGCACAAATACATAAAGTGTACAAGCAGCATACATAACAAAAAAATTCTTTAAAAAATTTATGTTCCAAAAAAGGAAAAGGAAAGATGAATATAGCATGTCCATTATAGTTGTTGACCAATTCCATATCAGGCTGTTTGATGTGTGTATGTGCGTATATTTATGCATTTGTGTGTACATGGAAACTAGAGGTCAACCTTGGACATCCTAGGGAAGCTGTTTACCTTGTTTGGTAATAGAAATAGTCCTCTCACAGAGGCCTGGGCTCCTAGTTTAAGCTTGGCTGTCCAGTTATCTTAGACATCACCAGAACTTTCTTTTGAGCTTTACTTATGCAAATAAGGGGCTAGTGACCTTTTAAAGTCCCAAGTTCCTTTTGTAACTCACATACTTTAAAAACAACTTCCATATTCTTTAAGAATCCTTTCTAATGTTTCATTAGGCAAAGCTACTCAATAGTGTGATTTGGAATTAAACATAGTTAGAAGCCTTTATCTGGTTCAAATCAAAGTTTAAGATATTACAGACGTTTATAGAATAAGCAAAGAAGCACCTGAAGAAACATCTTCAAGAGCTGAAACACTGTAACTTGAATGTCATTTGACTAAAATCATGTAGGGCTTGTGGATTCTCCATGAAGAGGATTTACTTTCAGGACCAGCAGTTACAAGGACCTTGTATTGTAGACATACAACATTATTAAAGGCAAGTCCATTTTAATTCAACGACTCTATAACTTATTAAAGAGGGCCAAATAATATGTATGACCTAAATCTAATCATTTCTGTCCCAAAGAAGCAATGATTACTGAGGAGGCTCATTAATTAGTAGTCCTTATTTCCTACCACTCTTAGACCAGAATTCTCCCAAGGGGCATTGTGAGGGTTCTTAATTTATGGAGAAAATAATTCTGTGACAAATTCATTTTGTGAAAGGCCAATTAAAACAAAATTAAACACAAAGGATGGAATTGCATTTCCCCAAACTTACTTATTTTCTCCACACTATCTCACAGGACTTGTGTCCTAATCACCACGCTTTACCTCAGGAACTCTATCACTGTGCCTCCTAGACTTCCTCCCATTAATCAGATCAGGACAGGATATCTTCAAGCAGAAATTCCTTTTATATTATTCATTATTATTCTCTTCCACTCTTCTTTCAATGCTATTCGTTTATTCTTCTTCAAATCACCTGCTCAGAAAACTTCATCTGCACAGAACAAGGTGTCACCCTTCCTAAATCAAGCCAATTTAGCATTTATTACTTATTAAATTATTGGTTTATTTAATTGATTATTTAAGTCACAATGAAACTGTCTTGCTTTCAGTGAAGTTTAGGCACACATGATTATACACAAGGAACTATATTTAACCTACCTTGTCAACCATTGCTGTTTGAACTAATAATCATTGCTTTGTTTATGTAATGAGCTTGGATATGATATGCACAGAAAACATTAATTCTAACTAAAATATCGATATTACAAGGGAAAAAATAAAATTTTCACTTAGAGTAACACTATCATCAAGGAGCAGTGATCAAGTTATAGTAAGGGTTAGGTGGCTATTCTTTCTCTAGTATTTTAATAATTTCTTTCCTAAAATGCAGCATGAAATTCTGTACTTTATTTTTATTTTTAACTCATATTATTTACTTTTATAATAAAGTGAAAACTTTTAAAATTGAATATTTTGCAAATATTTTTGGCCAGGAAACACCAGCCAATTTACCAACCAATCTATTAACTTTTGAAATTTTTGAGGAAGGGAGTCATTGGTGCACACTTTTGTGATGACTTGAGTAGGTCTACTGTATGCCTTTTTCTTTGGTTGGTAGACCTTTTTCATTGTGAGTTGGTGCCTGATTTTGATAGTACTCTTTTCCCCTTGTTAATGGTTGCTTTTAATGTCATCACAGTATGTTTTTAGAGACACTATTGAAAATTGGTGAATGTTTCCTAAATCCTCCAAAATTCTCTTGTGGAAAAATATCCACAAAATCCATTTGAGGGCTAAAGGAAACCATCTGAGGACCACACATGATTCTGAAAGTAAGGAATAGTCCAGGATCCTACTGAGCACGTATAGTGGGTGGAGATGAACACCTAACACTGCAAATAACTATGATAAAAATAATCACAATCCAAATAATCATTTTTAAAATAATAATAAAATAATTATCATTTGCTGGGGTAGGTGGTACAAGCCTATGAATCCCTGGACTCTGGAGACGTTGGCAAAAGGATTGTGAATTCAAGTTCAAGGTTAGTCTGGACATCACAGCAAGGCACAATTTCAAAACAACAAACAGATCCCTTTGTGTTGGAAAATTATTCTCTCTGTATGACTATAACTAGGTTATAATCCTAGAAAGTATGTAAAAACACAAATAACTTTCAATAAAATTCTACTTCATCAATGCTCAAATTTTTAAAATTGATTTTTAGACTAGTGTACGAAGTAACGGATTTCATCACAGCGTTTCATATGTTACCCTCTTCCATGTGGCCATTTGTTTGGGAGCAGTAAGAAAGGAGGGTGGATAAGACATGCACATGCGCGCGCGTGTGTGCGCACACACACACAACTATGAAAAGGTCTTAAAGAAACCCATTCCTTTCCTTTTTATGCTGTTCTGGAAAAAATATGGTACAGGTGGAGAAAACTTGAAAGGGGACATCTCATGCAACTACCATGAGCAAAAGAAACCTTGTTGGAAGAATAAACAGTAGAAGTTTACTTTTTATGTGTGTGTACATATGTGTGCATATGTACATGTGTGTATGCATGTTTTGTTTGCAGTTGTGTGTGTGTGTGTGTGTGTGTGTGTGTGCTCATGTGTGTGCAGGTGTGCATGAATGTGGAGGACAGAGTCAAACCAGCCTCAGGAATGTTGCTGGCCTTCTTTGAGACAGTCACATCGGTCTGCAGCTCTAGGCCAGGCTGGCAGCCAGCAAGCTTCCTGGGTCTTGCTGTTTCTGCTTCCCCAGAGTGGGATTTTAAACCTGTGCTGCCACACTTGGCTCCAGTTCTGATGGAACTTGAGTTCTCACGCTTGTGAGGCAAAATTGCACAGATTAAG